CATTGCCTTGTAAATGAAGATGCCCTGTAGTGAAATGCCTGTGATCATTTATGTTACTGAATCTCAAGATTGGCCTACCTTAAATTCAGCTCTATATTTGAGAATTTCCTAAAATAGCACTTTTAGAGTGAATGTAGTACACCCAGCCCTCACTCATCCACTCTTTATCTGACATTTCGCATTTACAACAACTGTAAAAAATCTGTCTATTTTGTGAATTAACGACGTACGTCTGGCAGTAATGAACGCTGAGGTGCGAGGCAAAAGTTATGCCGGCTGTGATGGTTAAGTTTATGTGTCCGCTTGGCTGAGCCATGATTCTCAGTGGTGTGGCAGCTATGTAATGATGTCATTCTCCATTTTGTGATCTGATGTGGTCATCCTCCATTTTCACATAACCCCGATTTTTGCATAATGACTTGGTCTTTGGAGCCTAACCACATTGATAAGTGAAGAGTGGGTGTATTGAGACATTTCTAGTGATGACTTGTAAAAAAAAAAAAAAAAAATCCCTATAGATCTCAATGCTCAGATCGTGCCCCATTTTCCAGTTTACCTCATTCAAAAGCACCTGTGGTAAGCTGCTAGATACATAACATATTCTTTTTTAAGAACTCTGCATGTCTAAAGCAGATTTTGTTTATTTTTATAATTTGGGGAAAAACATCGAGGCCAAAGAACTAAAAACTCCAAACCAACCTTTAGTGGGCCTTAACATAAGGTTTTATTTCTGAAGGCTAATCATCAATCTAGTAGTCATTTCCTAATTCCAGGCATGTAAAATATATCAAGAACCTGAAAGTAAGATAAAGAAAAGAAAAACAATTAACTAGTCGAAATAGACATCAAATAAAATCCATGAGAAACAGGCCTGTTTACTTAGAGGAATGACATTAGTGAAGGAATGACTCAATTTATTATTGTGTGAGGAAGGCCAAGTCCAAAGTCCCACTGGGCAATGGAAATGGGAAGGGCAAACATTCATCTATTCAGCAAACATTTATTGTATTACTGCTGTAGAGAGTTTGCATTTCTGTTTATCCTTCCCGAGAGGAGAAGGAGGAAGTAGGGATTTTATATTCAGACTCACCAAGTCTCTACTCTAGCTCTGGCCAGCTCTAATCACAAAGAAAGTTTCTTGTTTATTTTTAATCACTGCCAAATTGACAAGTAGAAAATAATAATCCTATGCTGAAATATAGATACAGGATAGTTTGCTAGGTTTACTCACTATCATAATACTCCCATATGTAGCCTCATCTCAGTTAGACCTTCAGGGTCCTCTTGAGTTATGGAAATCAAGTATGATAAAATTATGAACGCCAAGGATCTACTGTATTAGGATATATTTAGTCTTTTCTGATATTTGAAGTATAAGTCTTATTAATGAAATTCTTATATGGCTGTTTCCTTCCCTCTTGCTCAAGTTGGTTGGAGGTGGGAGGAGAGAATCTAAAGGGAACTGTCCTGTACTCCTTTCTTCTCAACTTCTTATCTCATCCAGTGGTTACTCAAGCACAGAAGCTTGGGTAGGTTGCAGCTCCTTCATCAGGATATTCCCGCTTGTCCCATTACTTTACACTGCCAGCAGTTTCACGTCTGTGTCCAGACCTTTTTGTTTTCTCTTATTCTGTTGAAGATGTCTACTGTGAGTGCCTTTCTCTAAAATGTGAAGGCCTTCTTCAGCTCCTTTTTTATGCCAGTGCTTCTCTCTTTGTCTGCGGTTGCTTTTTTTAATCATATTTTGGCTTAACCTCCGGTAGTTCTATACAGTAATACCCTTTCCTCCATCTTCCTTTCTCTAAGAGTTAAAATTTATATTTTATCTTTATGTCTTATCCTTTAAAGGATAAGATTTATGCCTCTTATTTGAGGGACTCAACATTTTCTTCCAAGACAGATTTGTTTGTTCTTCTAGCAGTCCATGGTATATTCAGTATTCTTCGCCAACACCATAATTCAAATGCATGAATTCTTTGGTCTTTCTTACTCATGGCGAGAATAGCAAAACTTCATCTCATGTACTTGGACATGTTATCAGGAGGTACCAGTTCCTGGAGAAGGACATCATGCTTGGTAAAGTAGAGGGTCAGTGAAAAAGAGGAAGACCCTCAATGAGATGGATTGACACAGTGGCTTCAACAGTGGGGTCAAACATAGTGACAATTGTGAGGATGGTGCAGGACTGGGCAGTGTTTCGTTCTGTTGTACATAGGGTTGCTATGAGTCGGAAGCAATTCGACGGCACCTAACAACAACATTTTGTCAAGCCCTAATAGGGTTGTTCTCACTTTTGGTTTGGCACAGTCTTCTTTGCTGTAATTTAATAACTATGCTAGTCTTGGTGAGATAGGGAAAATGGAAGGACGTTAAAGGGTAAAGCCTCTCTTTCCTCTGGTACCTTTTTATTTAACTCAAAGAAAATATACATCTTAACTAATCTTATTTGTTATATTGATAGAAAGCAGGATATAACTTCTACTGTCTTTGAGGTAAAGTTTTGAGGGGAAATGCTTCATAATACTTTTAGTAGCTAAAAAATAAAATCACTGTCTCAGAACTTTGTCGAGGAAGATTCTTTCACTTAGGAAAGGGGTAAAGAATTTCTTTTCCTTAGTTCTTCCTTCCCTCAGTGGACCTGGACCCTTACTTTCAAGCTAAAACTGTAAGTAGTTCAGCTACACTATGTGATAACTGAGACTTTCATATTTTTATACTTGAATCTACATTTATGTCAGTTTTTTGTGGGAAGTTGTATCTAGGAATCCAGAGTCATTTTGGGGAATCCATATGTTCTAAAAAGCAAGATATTTGTTTTTCCTTTGCAACTAGTAAGACTAGAATGTGTATTTGGCATTGTCATCATTTGCATTTATTCATCTTTTTAAAATTTATTGTGGTAAATGATATATAACATAAAATTTGCCATTTTAACCGTTTTTAAGAGTGCAAAATTCAGTGACATTAATTACATTAACCATGTTGTGTAACCATCACCACTGTTTCTAAAGCCTTTCGGCCCTCCAAACAGAAACTCCGTACCCATGGAACAGTAACTCCCTATTTCCCCATCCCCCAACCCCTGGCAACCTCAAATCTACTTCTGTCTCTATGAATTTGCCTATTGTAGATATTTCGTATACATTGAATCATACAATATTTGTCCATTTTTGTGTGGCATATTTCACTTAACATAATGTTTTCAAGGTTCATCCACGTTGTAGCATGTATCAGTGCTTTGTTCCTTTTTATGGGTGAATAACATTCTGTTGTATGTATTTACCACATTTTGTCCATCCATTTATCTGTTGATGTGGACATCTAGGACACAGTTTCCACATTTGGCAATTGTGAATACTGCTGTGAACATTGGTGTGCAAGTGTCTGTTTGAGTCTTTGCTTTCAGTTCTTTTGAGTATATACCTGGGAATGGAATTGCTGGGTCATATAGTGTTCTGTGTTTAACCCTGAGGAGCAGCCAAACTGTTTTCCACAGCAGCTGCACCATTTTATATTCCCACCACCAATAGGTAAGGATTCCAATTTCTCTACATCTTCGCCAATACTTGTTATTTTCCATTTTTCTGATAATAGCCATCCTAGTGAATTTGAAGTTGGATAATTAATAGCGTTTGATGCCACAAGTTTTTGATTTTGATGATGTCCAATTGATCCGTTTTTTCTTTTGTTGTTTGTGCTTGTGGTGTTGTATCTTATAATCCATTGCCAAATCCAAGGTCCTGAAGATTGCTTGTTTTCTACTAAGAGTTTTATGGGTTTAGCTTGTGTAATTAGGTCATTGATCCCTTTTTGAGTTAATTTTTGTATATGGTTTGATGTAGGGGTCCAACTTCACTCTTTTGTATATGTAATTTACCTTTCTTAACCTATACTTCTGTTGTATTCTCTGTGGGAAGGATTTAGTCTTGTTAGTAATTTTAAATTTTATTTTGTTGTTATTGAGAATATACACAGCAAAACATACACCAGCTCAGCAGTTTCTGCATGTACAATTCAGTGACATTGATTACATTCTTCAAGTTGTGCAACCATTCTCACCCTCCTTTTCTGAATTGTTCCTCCCCCTTTAACATAAACTCACTGCCCCCTAATGTTACTATCTAATCTTTTGAGTTGCTGTTGTCATTTTGATCGCGTATAAATAGTTCCTAAAAGAGCATAATGCTCAAGGCAGACATTTCTGACTAGTTAAGCTAAACTATTGTTTGGTTTTAAGACTTTGGGGGAAAAAAAGACTTTAGGGGCTATTTTTGGTTTAAGGTTTAAAGGTTATCTCAGGGCAGTGGTTTTAGGGATTCAGCCAGCTTCCATGGCTTCAGAAAGTCTAGAGTTCATGAGAATTGAAATTCTCCTCTGCATTTTCCCCCTTTTGCTCAATATTCTACAGAATCCTTTGATCAGAATGTCAGTAATGGTAGTTGACACTACCCAGTCTCTTCTAGTCTCATGGCAAAGGTGGCAGTTGCTCATGGAGGCAATTAGCCACACATTCCATATCCTCTTCCTACTCCTAACCCTCTTTCTTCCTCTGTTGTTCCAGGTGAGTAGAGACCAATTGTTGTGCCCTGTTAGTAATTTTAAATGAAGAATAAACTTTTAAGAAATATATTAAAATACTTTATTAAGAAATCTGCTGAAGTATAGATGACAAAATTGTATTCAAAAGGGGAATGTATTCCGGAACAGCTTTTGAAATAAACTCAATATCTTTTTAATAACCTTGGTAGCCTTATATGTGCTTCATACTTTTTGTTTATGGTTGAATGTTACTTAATCACTTCCTGCCAGAGTTTCTCTGTGACATTTATACTTGTTATAAATTTGTTGGTCAGTCTTTTTTAGATGGAGTAGTAATAATTATTGAATCTAGACTTGTTGTAAACTTGTTGTGTTTTAGGATTTTGTTTTCCTCTGAGAGTTATTTTAGTAGTAAAATGTTCGCTATTAGTAATAAAGGTTTTTATTTTCTTTAATAACAGATTTATACCTAAAACTGGAAGATGTGACCCATAAATTTAAAAAGCCCTGTATAATGGATGTAAAAATAGGGCGTAAAAGCTATGATCCTTATGCCTCATCAGAGAAGATTCAGCAACAAGTCAGCAAGTACCCATTAATGGAAGAGATTGGGTTCTTGGTGCTTGGCATGAGGGTAAGAATGATTATTAATATACACATTTCTCTTTATCTGTTCTTCCCTGGAAAATTATAGCTGTTACAATCCTCTTATATCAGAAGATAATATATTGTGGAATTGGTTTAGCCTCAATGTATAAATCCTATGAGGGCAGAGATTTTTGTCTCTTTTTTTCACTGACATATGATCAGTGGCTGGAAGTGTTCTGGCACACAGTAGCTGCTGAATGAATAGATAACTGAGTGGCTGTTCCTGAAGACTCTGACTTTGGAAATTTTTTTTTAAAGTAGCTTTAAGTTAAAGTGAAAAAAAAAAAGTTAACAGTAAACATTATGCCTGTAGTTTTCCTGTGTAAAAAGGGCTAAGTTTATATATTCAGTCATTTTTCTATATTTTTAAAATAGAAGAGGGAAAATGAAAATTGGTCATTGTTTCAGACTTTGCTGCATAACAGACAACTCTAAAATTTAGTGATTTCAAACAACAGTGGTTTTATTTTCTTATGATTCTATAGGTTGGGCAGTTGAGCTGGACTCAGCTGAGCAATTCTGCTGGGTTTTGCCTAGGATCCCTCATGTGGCTGCAGTCATTTGGTGGCTCAACTGGGGCTAAATAAGCTAAGATCACCTCAATCTCCTGTCTGGGAGTTGGTGCTAATTGTTGGCTGGGCCCCCTCCTGTGTGGTCTCTTATCCTGTGGAAGGGTAGCTTAGGTCTCTTCCTGTTGCAGTGCTGCATGCCAAGAAATTAAGAGTAGAATCTGCAAGGTTTCTTGGAATTCTGATAGGAAGTCACTTGACATCACTTTCATCGAATTCTGTAGGTCAGAGTATATCACAGAGCCAGCCCGGATTGAAAGGGAGAGGAAATAGACTCTACTTCTTATAGAGGGGATAGCAGAGTCACAGTGCAAATGGGAATATGCCCAAGGATGAGAAGAATTTTTGAGCCGTCTTTGCAAACAATATGCCGAAGTCAAGAAGTAATAATGTAATAAAAACCTCTGCACAAATGATATGTCTTTAAGATGTAAAATTTGTCAATAGGAGAAATGATATGTCTTTAAGAGGTAAAATTTGTCAATAGGAGAAATGATTGCTTACCTATATAAGCATAATACATAGTTTTCAAATTCATCATGTAAGAAAACATATGGTCTTCCTTTTGAGAATCCTAATTCAGGGAACATTATAGATGAATTGTTAATGTGATGGTAATAAAAGCACAATTGAGTTTGACATTCTGATTGTAAACAAAAGCAAGGAAATTGTTCATGTAATTATTTCATTTTAGAAAATGATAACTAAATGTGGGTGTATAGTAAAGAAAAAAGGTAATAGAACAATTTAAAAAATAAATAAGAAAATAAAACATTATACAGGAGTCTGAGTGGGCAACTATTTAAACCTCCACTGTTTTTAAATCTCTCACCCTCCCACTACCCCTGTCACTTTCAGCAGACAACTTTGCCTTCTGCTTCAGAAGAAATAAAAGCTTTCAGACAGAATGTCTTAATTTCCTGCTAACAGACTCTTTGTTGCTTCTTGTCACATTGAGGAATTTTCCAATTCTTATCCCAGGACAGTCCTTCCCGATGTCCTCTGGATCTTATTTCTTCTACTTCTTCAGACACCTTAAGCTTTTATTTCTCTTTTTTTTCTTGTATGTTTATTTGGTGTCTCTCTTTCCTAGATCTTTTCCTTCTGTTGTAAACATGTTGAAATCACTCTTCAATTGTTTTAAAAAACCAAAACATCAAAATCCCACCTTTTACCCTGTTCTGCTCTCCATTTGCAGATTTAAGTTGCCTCCCCTTCATGACCAAACTGTTATTTCCATTTCCTCACTTTCTGCTCAATATTCAACCTGTTCCGTTATGCCACCAGATTGGCTCCTCATGAAGGGTCCTAATGACATCTGCATGTCAGTAAATCCAAATAGCATTTTTACTTTCCTTACTATACTTTCCAGCAGCCTTCAGTGCTGACCAGGTTCTCTTTGAAATGTTCCTTTTTGTGTCCATGACACCACACTTCCTGGTTTCTTCCTAAGGCCACTTTATAGTCTTCTTTGCCAGATCCATTTTAATGCCTCCCTCTCTTTTGATTGTATTTCTTCCTAGGCAGTGCCCTCTGTTCTCATGGTTCAGTATCAGTTACACTGTAACTTGCAAATATATTTTCAGCCTCTGTTTTTTCTTTGATTTCCTCATCTGTCTATCCAACCACCTACTAGGGATTTTTCTTGGAGAATGTCTTAAGCATCTCATACCCAGTACATCAAAAATTGACACACTCATCCCCCTTGCAAACCAACAGCCACCACAACAACAAATCTCTGTTATTCTCCATCTCAATAAGTGGCATCACAGTACACCCAGTTTTACAAACTAGAAACCTGATAGTCACTACCATATCTCAGAGCAAGACATTAAGTTCTGTTCATCTTAATTCCCAAACATCTCCTGAGTCCCTTCACTTCTGTCAGTCTCTTTAGCTATTTCTCTAGTCTAGACCCATTAGGCCCAGATCTTTTTGCTGAAGATCATTCAAAAGCTGTTGCAACAGTACATTGACAAGAACTGCCAGAAATTCAAACTGGATTCAGAAGAGGACTCGGAACGAGGCATATCGTTGCTGATGTCAGATGCATCTTGGCTAAAAGCAGAGAATACCAGAAAGATGTTTACCTGTGTTTTATTGACTATGCAAAGGCATTCGACTGTACGGATCATCACAAGTTATGGATAACGTTGTGAACAATGGGAATTCCAGAACACTTAATTGTGCTCATGGGGAACCTGTGCATAGACCAGGAGACAGTTGTTTGAACAGAAAAAGGGGATATTGAGTGGTTTAAAGTCAGGAAAGGTATCCTTTCGCCATACTTATTCAATCTGTATGCTGAGCAGATAATCCGGGAAGCTGGACTATGTGAAGAAGAATGTGGCATCAAGATTGAGGGAAGACCCATTAACGACTGCGATCATTAACAACTGTGATATACAGATGGCACAACCTTGCTTGCTGAAAGTGATGAGGATTTGAAGCACTTATTGATGAAGATCAAAGACTACAGCCTTCAGTATGGATTACACCTGAACATAAAACAGAAATCCTCACAAATGAACCAATAAGCAACATCATGATGAGAGAAAAGATTGAAGTTGTCAAGGATTTCATTTTATCTGGATCCATGATCAACGCCCATGGAAGCAGCAGTCAAGAAATTAACAATGTATTGCATTGGGCAAATGTGCTGCAAAAGACCTCTTTCAAGTGTTAAAAAGCAAAGATGTCACTTTAAGGACTAAGGTGGACCTGACCCGAGCCGTGGTATTTTCAGTCGCTTCATGTGCATGCACAAGCTAGATAGTAAATAAGGGAGACTGAAGAAGAATTGATGCTTTTGAATTATGTTGTTGATGAAGAATATTGAATATACCATGGATTGCCAGAAGAATGAACAAATCTGTCTTGGAAGAAGTATAGCTAGAATGCTCCTTAGAAGCAAGGATGGCGAGACTTCGTCTCACATACTTTGGACATGTTATCAGGAGGGACCAGTCCCTGGAGAGGACATTATGCTTGGTAAAGTAAAGGGTCATTGAAAAAGAGGAAGACCCTTAAGGAAATGGATTGACACAGTGGCTGCAACGATGGGCTCAAGCATATCGATTGTGAGGATGGCGCAGGACTGGGTAGTGTTTCGTTCTGTCGTACTTAGGATTGCTATGCGTCGGTGCCGGCACCTAACAGCAACAACAGACCCATTATCCCTTTCTGGACTGTAGTCTCTTAACTGATCTCTCAAGTTAAAATTTTTTCCCTGCCAATGTGTTCTCTAAACATTGTAAAATGTGTATTTAATCATGACATTTCCTCTATTTAAATACTCTTCAGTGGGTTTCCATTGCCTTCAGATTACATATACAGGATAAGTAAATAAGGCATTGCATGATTTGACTCTGTTGGGATGTGTTGCTTCCTCAGAAAACTAGAAGTTCCCTGTTTTTTTTGATTTTTAAGTATCAGTTCTATTGAGACGCAATTCACATACCACTCAATTCTCTCATTTAAAGTGTACAATTCATTGGTTTTAGTACATTCATAGAGTTGTATGACTGTCACCATATTGAACCTTAGAATATTTTATCAATATTTTGTTCTTTTTTATTGTTAAATAATATTGCATTTTATGGATATACCACAATTTGTTGATCCAGAAATCAGCTGATGAACATCTGAATTGTTCCTACCTTTTGGCTCTTGTTAATAATGCTGCTATGAATGTTCATATACAAGTTTTTGTGTGGATATATGTTTTCATTTCTGTTGGGTATATACCTAGGCTATTTTCCATAGTAGCTGCACCATTTTACATTCCCACCAGCAGTGCATGAGAGTCCCAATTTCTCTACATCCTTGCCAGTGTTTTTTATTTTACATCTTTTTTATTAACCCAATCCTAGTGAATGTGAAGTGGTATCTTACTGTGGATTTAATTTGCATTTCTCTAATGGCTAATGATATTACATGTTTTTTCATGTGTTTATTGACCACTTGCATATCTTCTTGGAGAAATCTCTATTCAGACATTTCTTTTTAATTCTAGGAGTTCTTTATATATTATAGATAGCAGCCCCTTATGAAATATATGATTTGCAAATAATTTCTCCCATTTTGTGGTTGTCTCTTCACTTTTCTTGATAGTGTCCTTTGAAGCACAGAAGGTTTTAATTCTGATGAAATCCAGTTAATCTATTTTTCTTTTTGTTGCTTATGCTTTTGATGGCATGTCTAAGAAACCATTGCCTAACCCAAGGTTATAAAGATTTATTCCTATGTTTTCTTCTAAGAGTTTTATTGTTTTAGCTCTTAGGTTTAGATATGATACACTTTGAGTTAATATTTATGTATGGTATTATGAAGGGGTCCAACTTCAGTCTTTTGCATATGGATATCCATTTGTCCCAGCACCATTTGTTGAAAAGACTACTCTTTCCCCCACTGAATT